AATGACCGACGTGTCGCCGTGCGTGCCTGAGTACTGCGGCCAGGCAATGACCGACGTGTCGCCGCGCCTGAGTACTGCGGCCAGGCAATGACCGACGTGTCGCCGCGCCTGAGTACTGCGGCCAGGCAATGACCGACGTGTCGCCGCGCCTGACTACTGCGGCCAGGCAATGAACGACGTGTCGCCGTGCCTGACTACTGCGGCCAGGCAATGACCGACGTGTCGCCGTGCGTGCCTGAGTACTGCGGCCAGGCAATGAACGACGTGTCGCCGTGCCTGACTACTGCGGCCAGGCAATGACCGACGTGTCGCCGTGCCTGACTACTCCGGCCAGGCAATGACCGACGTGTCGCCGTGCCTGACTACTGCGGCCAGGCAATGACCGACGTGTCGCCGCGCCTGACTACTGCGGCCAGGCAATGAACGACGTGTCGCCGCGCCTGAGTACTGCGGCCAGGCAATGACCGACGTGTCGCCGTGCGTGCCTGACTACTGCGGCCAGGCAATGACCGACGTGTCGCCGTGCCTGACTACTGCGGCCCGGCAATTACCGATGTGTCGCCGCGCCTGAGTACTGCGGCCAGGAATGACCGACGCGTCGCCGTGCGTGCCTGACTACTGCGGCCAGGCAATGACCGACGTGTCGCCGCGCCTGACTACTGCGGCCAGGCGATGACCGACGTGTCGCCGTGCGTGCCTGACTACTGCGGCCAGGCGATGACCGACGTGTCGCCGTGCCTGACTACTGCGGCCAGGCAATGACCGACGTGTCGCCGTGCCTGACTACTGCGGCCAGGCAATGACCGACGTGTCGCCGTGCCTGAGTACTGCGGCCAGGCGATGACCGACGTGTCGCCGTGCCTGACTACTGCGGCCAGGCAATGACCGACGTGTCGCCGTGCCTGACTACTGCGGCCAGGCGATGACCGACGTGTCGCCGTGCGTGCCTGACTACTGCGGCCAGGCAATGACCGACGTGTCGCCGTGCCTGACTACTGCGGCCAGGCAATGACCGACGTGTCGCCGTGCCTGACTACTGCGGCCAGGCGATGACCGACGTGTCGCCGCGCCTGACTACTGCGGCCAGGCGATGACCGACGTGTCGCCGTGCGTGCCTGACTACTGCGGCCAGGCGATGACCGACGTGTCGCCGTGCCTGACTACTGCGGCCAGGCAATGACCGACGTGTCGCCGTGCCTGACTACTGCGGCCAGGCAATGACCGACGTGTCGCCGTGCCTGACTACTGCGGCCAGGCAATGACCGACGTGTCGCCGTGCCTGACTACTGCGGCCAGGCAATGACCGACGTGTCGCCGTGCGTGCCTGAGTACTGCGGCCAGGAATGACCGATGTGTCGCCGTGCCTGACTACTGCGGCCAGGCGATGACCGACGTGTCGTCGTGCCTGACTACTGCGGCCAGGCAATGACCGACGTGTCGCCGTGCGTGCCTGAGTACTGCGGCCAGGCAATGAACGACGTGTCGCCGTGCGTGCCTGACTACTGCGGCCAGGCTATGAACGACGATTCGCCCACCGCCGCTTCGTTACTGCCACTTCCGGGCCACCGCCGCCGTTGTGCCGCCGCCTCCGCCGCGCAATTTGCCGCCGCAGCCTTCACCGCCGCCATTGATGCCTTCGCCGCCCTGCCGACGACACTGCCGCCGCCGCAGCCCCTCCCTTCCTGCCTCCCCCCCCCCCCCCACACACACACTGCCGCCACCCTCGCCCTCGCCCTCGCCCGCAAGGCCTCTCTTTATTCTCTGGCCCTCGTCGCCTGCAACACTCGCCCGACATGAACTTTAGCCCGCTCCCTCGTGACGCCGCCCTCCGCAGGCTCAACGTCCGAGCTTTGTCCCCCGTCACTCTCCTCTCATTTCAGACCCCACACATGCGCATAGCTGTTCCGACCAATGCAGGCGCCTTGCCTCACCCCTCTCACGGGCGGCCCCCATTCTCTCTGCTCTGCAGGACGCGCGCCGAGAGGCGCTACATGGTCGACTTCAATGAGGGCGAGGGCGAGTCGGCTTTCTTGGTTGTGAGATCAACAAAGGGCGTCTGGTTCGACAATCCCCACGTGTTCCATCGGAGCCTCGCAAAGGTGCCAATCAGCTTTTGTTTCGCGGAGGGGGCCCAGGTTCAGACCGAGCTCGGGCCAACAGCTTCCGTCAAGGTCGGTGGCTACTTCGCTTCCCGTGCGGAGTATGAGGAGTGGCATCAGCGCCGCCGCGCGAGCCTGACGCTGCCGCCTTCGCTCGGAGCTGAGGTGCGCACTTTTACGCCAGGATCAGCATTGTCCCTGCGGTGTCCCCGTCTCCAAACATTTACGCTTCTCCCTCGCGCAGGCGTGCGGCGTCAACAACGACGTCGTTGTGACGGAGGAGGCCGCCACTCAGGAGGCTGCCTCCGAGGAGGCCGTCGTCGCCGAGGAGTCCGCCACCGAGGAGGCGACCATCAAGTCCGCGGTGTCCGCCGCCGCGGCGCCCGTCGCCGAGGAGGCGCCCGTCGCCGAGGAGGCCGTCGCCGAGGAGGCTGCCAAGGAGATCGAGAAGCCGGCACCGGCCAAGACCGTTTCCAACCCGCCCGACAAGCGGCACGTTGAGGTGGAGGACGACGAGTCGAAGTCGTGGAGGAAGAAAAACCGCCGCAAGCAGATCAAGCGGGTTTTGGCGGGGCTTGTGGCCATGGCGAGAGAGTCCGAGGCCTTCGCCTCCCTCATTCTGGCGTGGTCGTCGCCGCCTTCGCGCCTCATCATAGCCGAGGTGCACGCCAGGATCGTCATCGTCCCTCCGGTCTCTCCGAACACGTGCGCATTCTCCCTCACCCAGGCGCTCGGCATCAAGAACGACGTCGTTGTGAAGGAGGAGGTCGCCACCGAGGAGGCCGCCTCCGAGGAGGCCGTCGTCGCCGAGGAGTCCGCCACCGAGGAGGCGACCATCAAGTCCGCCGCCGCCGAGGTGTCCGCCGCCGCGGAGGCAGTCGCCGAGGAGGCGCCCGTCGCCGAGGAGGCCGTCGCCGAGGAGGCTGCCAAGGAGGTCGAGAAGCCGGCCAAGACCGTTTCCAACACGCCCGACCCAACGGTGAGCGCGCCGCAGCGTTCTCTCCTGGCACTCCTAGCCTTCCACCCACCCGTATTCTCTCTCCCGTGTTCCCCGCAGGAGTGGGCCGACCGGTCAATGGTCGTGGAGGACAGCTTCTACGCCTCCAAGCCGGTGTTTCTGACCAGCGTCGAGATCGGGTTGGCGGAGCCGCGCGCTGCGAAGATCATGCAGCGCGTCTCGCGCGGGCTGCTGGCGCGCAAGAAGGTGGCCGTGAAGGAGGAGGCCGCCACCGAGGAGGCCGCCACCGAGGAGGCCGCCGCCAAGTCCGCCGCCGCCGAGGAGACCGCCGCCGAGGAGTGCGCCGCCGAGGAGGCCGCCACCAAGTCCGCCGCCACCGAGGAGGCCCCCGCCGCCGAGGAGGCCGCCTCCGAGGAGGCCGTCGTCGCCGAGGAGTCCTCCACCAAGTCGGTCGCCACCGAGGAGGCCGCCGTCGCCGAGGAGGCCGCCTTCGAGGAGCCCGTCGTCGCCGAGGAGTCCGCCACCGAGGAGGCGACCATCAAGCCCGCCGCCGCCGAGGTGTCCGCCTCCCAGGAGGCGCCCGTCGCCGAGGAGGCCGTCGCCGAGGAGGCCGTCGCCGAGGAGGCTGCCAAGGAGGTCGAAAAGCCGGCCAAGACCGTTTCCAACACGCCCGACCCAGCGGTGGTGAGCGCGCAGCAGCATTCTCTCCTGGCACTCTCCTCGCTCTCCCACCGGTAATAATCTCCCTTCCCGTGTGCCCCTATCGCGCGTGCAGGACACCACCTGCTACCCGGGCCTGCCCACGCCGAACGCGGCGGGGAAGAGCGGGCCCGCGTCGGCCCGCAGCGGCTCCGGACCGGGCTACGTGGACGGCGTCGAGGCTGCAGTCCGCCGGCTGGGCGAGAGCGTCGTCTACCAGGCTACGCCCGCCGACGGCAAGAAGTCGCCGTCGCCGGGAGTCCCCACCTCCGGCGGCATTGCGCCCGTGGCGCCCAAGCCCCTTGGCGCGGTCGCGGGCGCGGGGCAGGCTGAGGCCGAGGTCGCCAAGGAGCGCGAGCACTGGGAGGGGCGGCTCAAGAAGGCGAAGGCCGCGCTCGATCTCATTGCCGAGCAACGGGAGAAGTGGGCGGACCTGCAGTCGCGGCGCTCGGGGAAGTGCCGGCGCAAGGCAAGGCGCTGCCGCAACAACCCCAAGTTTGGCAAGGCAAAGGGCAGGCGCAAGTCTGGCAAGGCAAAGGGCCGCGGCCGCGGCACGCACCGGCGACCGAAGCCGCGCGGCGGGCCGCAGACGCCGCCTTGCAAGTCGCCGGACCGGCGCCGCGAGCCGCAGACCACGTCCGGCAAGGCGCCATTCGCCGCTGGCACGTGCGGCGCCGGCGCTGGCACGTGCGGCGCCGGCGGTCGCGCCGCCCTCAAGGCGGCGGCCAACTGCGTGCAGGGCGGCTACACAAAGGCCGCGGGCGCTCTCCGGTGGCTGCTCCTCGTCTGCATGCCAGCCTTTGGCCACTGCGCGCCCGCCGTGCCTAGCCCGACGGCGGTGGCCTCGGCCTTCTCGTCTGCCGTCGCCTCGGCGTCCTCGGCCTTCTCATCCGGCGTCGCCTCGGCGGCGTCCTCGGCCTTCTCGCCCGCCGTCGCCTCCAAGGCGTCCTCGCTCGTGAGCTGCTCGCCGCTTCTCATGCCCGCCCTCGTGCTCATCCTCCTCGCCATCGCTTGCGTCGCCTCCTGGCCGACCGCGGCGAGCGGAAAGGGGGCTCGCGGCGCGGCGTGGGCCACCTGCCTCGCGGGCGCCGCCACGGCGTGCCTCACCGGCGCGGCGGCGGCGCCTGCCGGCTTCTTCGCGAGCGCCTTCTCGTGGCTCGCGGCGGGTCCGCTGCAGGTCGCCGCCGCGGTCGCCGCCTTGGCCGTCATTGGCACGGTGATGTGGCGCCGCAACTCAAAGGCCCGCCGCTTCGGCATTCTTCTCTGCTTGGCCACCGTCTCCGGCGGGTTGGTCACCGTCGTTGGCGCATTCAAGGTGCGATCTGCAGCCTCCTCTGGCTCTGCCATCGCGGGGGCGGCGTCCTCGCTCGGCAGCTGCTTCTCGCTCCTCCCCCCCGCCCTCGTCCTCCTCCTCCTCGCTGTCGCCTACGGTGCCTCCTGGCTGCCCGTGGGGAGCGGAGTCGAGGCTCGCGGCACGGTGCGGGCCCCTGCCGTCTGTCTCGGCCTCGCCGCGGCCTGCCTCCCAGGCGCAGCGGCGGCGCCCGAGGGCTTCTCCTCGTCGAGCGCCATTTCGCGGCTCACGGATGGGATGTCGACGTCGACGTGCGTTCTTATCGTCGTGGTGGTCGTTCTTACCGTCGTGGTGGTCACCCAGGGCGTCGCCATCCTCGCGCTGCTCGCCGCGGACCGGCGGCGTGTGCTCCCCAAGGCCCGCCCTGCGTCGCCGGCCGACCCAGTCTCGGCGCCGCCCTCGCCGCCGGAGCCCGTCGACGCCGACAAGCCGTCGACTCTGGGTAATGACGAGGCATCTGGCAGGACTAGCCGACCGAGTATCAGCCTCGATGATATCACCGCCGAAGGATCTGGCCTTCAACGGCTGCGAGCGCTGGACCGGAACAAGGACAACCGGCTGGACGCTGCCGAGCTGGTTCAGCTCGTGCAAGACCTGAGGAAGGAGGCGGCGGAGAAGAAGGAGGCGCTGGTGCGGGCCGACCAGCACAAGATGCAGGCCGACCGGCACAAGAAGGCGGCCGACCGGTACAAGAAGGCGTTCTTCGTGGCGGTGCTGCTCCTCGTGCTGCTCTTTGGCACCACGTTCGCCTCGTCGCTGACCGCGGCCTTCCTGGCAAAGGACACCAAGGTCACGACCAACAACTTCTTGGTCTCCGCCGACAACGGCGAGGTGCTCAGGACCGGCAGCGCCGAGTTTGCTCTCGCGCCCCTTGTTGCCCCCGATGTCGAGTCGGACGAGGCGGCCACGGAGTGGCACGGCGACCCGAACGCGACGACGACCGTGCTCGTCGACGCCAACGGTGGCGCGGTGGCGACGGCGGCGGCGACCGACAGCTTCGGCGTTCTCGTCGACGCGGGCGGCGCGGCGGTCAAGACCTTTGCCACCACGAATGGGGACAATCACATCACCACGCCAAACGGGCAGACCGTCAAGACGGAGCTCGCCGAGTACGTTTTCGAGTCCCCGTCCGATGTCATGGCGAGAATGATCCTGGCGTACACTAGCCGGCATCTTGGGGCACTCAATCAGATCTACTTTACCCTGCCATCGGATGGGCAGTCGTTTGCATTCGGCATCAAAGGGTACATGACGCGCAACCTCCACGTTGCCGCCGTCATTCCCAATACGCCTTCCACCGAGGGCGCAAAGTGGGTGCTCGTGGATGATCCCCAGAGCGACCTGGCGGAGTACTCCATGTGCGCTCGCCGCGCCTCTCGCCCGGCTCAGCTGTCCCCCCCCCCCCCCCCACCTCCCCCCCCTTCCTGCGCCCCGTCCCGCCCCTTCCTGCGCCCCGTCCCCAGCTCGGCCAGAAGCCTCCCTCCCGTGCGTCCCTCCCAGGTTCATCAAGATGGTTCTCCTCACCACGACGGACGAGGCCTTCCCAGGCGTGATTGCGGTTGCGCTGTTTGAGGAGGGCCTCGAGGACGAGATGATTGCGTCGCTCATCCCGCTCAACTCAGGCGACACGAGCACGGTCAAGTGGCTCCTATCGACGCCAAGGTCGGGCCTTATCGCCAACGGCACCGCCAGCGACGCCATCACGTTCGCCGTGAATGAGCTGGGCTACAGAGGCAGGGGCCTGTTTGAGGTGATCGTCAACATCAGCTCCGAGGTGGTCTCGGGAACAAACGATACGCGCCGTCGGCTCTCTCATGGACGGCGGCTCTTTTGGAACGACATCGGAAGAGCCTTTGAAAATATCGGCAGGGAGATCGGAGGCGCGTTTGAGGACTTGGGCGACGAGATTGCCGGCGTCGTCAGCCAGCTGGGGGACCTGATCGAGGAGGGCTTGGAATTTGTCGCCTGTCAGCTGGGACAGGTTGCGGCAATGCTCGTCGACGTCGTCGTCGACGCCGTTATCGACCACATCATCAATCCCCTCGGCAACTTTCTCTGCAGCAACATCGCGACACCCGTGGCGGACGCATTGCGGGAGATGGGCAAACTGTGCGTCGAGCCTTCTGGGCAGTGCTTCCCAGACGCGCTCAACCCGTCGGATGACGAGATGGTTGAACTCTTCTCGATCTCACATGGCGACGCCGCGCAGCTGACGGTGAGCGGCAAGGCTACGCTCAGAGCTTGCGCCCAGGTGAAGGACGCGCAAGTCGATTGCGACGGGCTCGGCAGTTTCCTCACGAATACAGCGCAGGAATGGGCAGAGAAGAACATCAACGGGCCCGCTCGCGAATTCCTCACCTCGACTTGCCGGCGGCAGCTCAATGCAGCGCCGGTCAAGCACTCCGTCATTCGCGACATTGCCGGCGCAGCTGTGGAGCAAGTGAGCGGCGGCCACCGCCGACTCACTGCTGCGCTGCACGCGGCGAAGCGAAATGGAACGAGCGACTCCTTCTCTCAGCGGTTGGTTGCTCATGCGACTGCGGCGGCTCTCAACATGACCCAGGATCGGATCGTCGATGCCGTCGCAAAGCGGCTTGTCGAGGAGCAGGAGGAGGCGTCCCGCCGCCGGCTAGTCGCGGAGCATGACGCCCGTGGACGCCGTCTGGACACAATCGTGTCCAGCACTTGCCACGCTACGTGCGAGGGCAGCTCAAACATTAATCCGGGCTGCGCCATCTGCAAGTCCGAGCCCAGGCAAGGCAATGCGGCGGGGCCGCGGAACAGCGCATTAAATGTAAACGGCTGGAATTGCGGCAATGCAATCACGTGTCCGGCCGGCAGCGGGTGCGTCGCTCGCGACACCCGCAGCTATCGAGGAACCATTTTCGAGTGCTATGAGGGCGCTCCTCCGTACCTGCTCAGCGCCCTCGAGGGGCGAGAGCCGACTGAAGCGCTGCCTCCCTCGCTGGGAAAGCTCAGACTCGCCTTCTCGATCGAGGCGGGCATCGAGATTCAGGCAGAGGCGGCGGCCGCATTGGACGAAGCGAGAGAGATTGACCTCCTTGAGAAGTTCGGAAAGCCGGTCGACATCGCATATGGCAAGACCATCCCTGTTTCTCCGTATGGAGCGGTCCTGACCTTTGAAATCGACGCCCGCGTCAGGCTGCGGCTTCCGCTCGCAGTACACGCGACCTTCGAAGCCGCCGGTACAGCAAACTTGCTCGTCAAGTACGACAGGGAGTGGGAGGTCAACACGGACCAGCAGGGACTAGAGCAGAGCCAGCTGTCACCAAACATCGATGCTTGGCAGCTGACGACCGTCGACAACTCACAGCTGGAGTATTCGGTGTCGGGCGGGGTCGCGGCCTCACTCTCTGCCAAAGTTGGCTGCTGGGTGGAGATCGAGCTGCGGCTGGCCGCCCACATCGCCACGTCAATCACTCTGTATGGAGAGGCAGCCGCGAGGTGGGAGGTCATGGGCGGCACCGATGCCTCGGCCTGCGTCACCGCCGCCGTCAACGCGGCCCCCTCCTTCCAGTGCCAGCGTCTGCACACGAGCCTGACGCCGTACGTCGAGTACTCTGACAGCCAGGTCGCCGTTCCCGTCTCATCGGGCTCGACCGCCAACGGGTATGCCGCCCTTGGCTTCTGGCTCTACGCGCCGTACCCTCAGATTAGCCTGCGCGTCGGGTGGGAAATGGGCACGAGCGCGAGTCTACTCGACCTCTGCGTGGGCTGCTTGACGTATGAAGCGGCCGGCACGCTATCGGTGTGCCCGTCCGGCGTATCGTGGGACAGCTACCTCGGCCCTTCTGACTACCCAGGGCAGGGCGAGGAGCACCCCTACGGAAGGTACATGCTCCGGACGGCCCACGTCGAGAAGATCTCGTTTGACGCAGCATCGGGCGGGGCGCAGAGGAAGTTCATTGCGAAGCCCAAAATTGATGCACCTCCATGGACCCACTTCGCACACGTGGGTAGCTACGGCAATCCGTCATATAGCTCAGCGTCTGGCATCCCTAACTCGAACGGCAACGACTTCACTCGCGACTGCAAGAACTATGACCGAGCCACTATCGCCCAGATTGTCATGGTGCTCGCCTCCCCACCCTTCCCCCCCCACCCCCCCCACCCCACCACACACCACACACCCACACCACACACCACACACCACCACCCCTGCAGGGCTCGGTCGCTGACTACGTGCGGCCATCCGCCGGGTGCACCTTCTGCCAAATGATGGAAGGATCTGGGTGCCACGACTGGCTTGACCCGAACGGAAACTGGGTCACACCACCGGCGTCGGGCGGGCACAAGGGCGGGTCGAGGGAGGGGTGGCCGCGGGAGGCCTACGGCGGCGCGGACAACCGCGTGTACCTCACCTTCTGGGGCAGCTTGGGGGCGGGGAATGTCGGGGGATGCTGCTACGATTCATACAGTTCCGGCAGCTCCTGGAATCGCGAGCTCGACGTCTACGTGCAAACGCCGCCTCTAGCGCAAACGCGGCCGACTCTAGCAATGCTCGATCTGCGTACGGCCACCACCTACCAGGGAAACGGTGAGTATGACAAGCAGGCGCCAGTGGACGACAACATCTTCGCGGACACCACGGGCAGCCTCAACTGGGGCGCCTGTGGCCACTTCACGTCCTCCCGATGGTGGGGCGTCGACCTCGGCGCGGATCGCTATGTCGGATACATCCGCATGCTCAACCGCGACGTAGCCACCGAACGCTTGCACGACGTCGACATTTACTTGGGAAGCTCGTACGGCACTGTTGGGACACCCAGCACTATGGTTCGTAGCGGGGTGCGCGTCGACTCGAACTCGCCGTTTTACTTCACGATCAATGCGCGCGGCCGGTACCTCTTCCTCCGCAACAACGCCGCCGATGGCCTCACTGTCTGCAAGCTATATGTCTGGGCATCGCCGACTCTAGCAATGCTCGATCTGCGTACGGCCACCACCTACCAGGGAAACGGTGAGCATGACAAGCAGGCGCCAGTGGACGACAACATCTTCGCGGACACCACGGGCAGCCTCAACTGGGGCGCCTGTGGCCACTTCACGTCCTCCCGATGGTGGGGCGTCGACCTCGGCGCGGATCGCTATGTCGGATACATCCGCATGCTCAACCGCGACGTAGCCACCGAACGCTTGCACGACGTCGACATTTACTTGGGAAGCTCGTACGGCACTGTTGGGACACCCAGCACTATGGTTCGTAGCGGGGTGCGCGTCGACTCGAACTCGCCGTTTTACTTCACGATCAATGCGCGCGGCCGGTACCTCTTCCTCCGCAACAACGCCGCCGATGGCCTCACTGTTTGCAAGCTGTATGTCTGGGCATCGCAAGCATGAAAGGGCCACGAACAGAACGCTAAGCCGATAGCGAACGACCCTGGCCCGCAGGGAGGGGGGGGGGGGGGGATGCAAGTGTGCTTTCTTGCTTATCTGGCGTGCAGCGAGAAACCACACCCCTCCATACAGCCTGTTGCGTAAACCACGCCAAGCGGGGATTTCCGCGAAAATCTAAAAACCACGGCGCGCCGTAGGCGCATCCCCGAGAAAGGGCCCACACACGAGTGTGAAGCGGGTAGTCTCACCCCATCCCCAGGGCCTCCAGGGCTCGCACCTCAACCTCTCAGCGCCATAGGACGTATTTTCTTCTCAATAACAAGGCTGTGAACAGGAGCCCCGTTCAATTTGTCTCTTCGCCTGCGGCGCGCACTTGTCATATTGCCCAAGTCTGCGGCGTTCTGGGCGGTGTGGATGGAGGTGTGTGCGTCTTCCTGTCGTCCCAAGCTGCTGACTGGTCCAGCGCTTCCTTATTGTCATTAAACATTCCTAGACCCCGATTGATTGATAGAAAGGCAAAACACACAGTCCGACCAACGACTGGGACACCAACGCGGTATGGGTGGACGCAAGTGGCAAGACGGGCGGTGACGGTCCACACAGGGCGCGTCGTGCCGCGAGTGGAGCGAGAGGCTCGAGGCGCGCGGCTGTCGGTCAACCCTGCGGCGCATACGCGCCGCCAAGGCTGCTCGACAGGCGACTGGCATTGTGGCGACGCGGTCGCCGTTACTCCAACTTTGCTTTGCCGAAAAAAAAGCGCCCGTCCTTTGCTTTTTAGCCGCCGAAATTTAGCTTGCTGTTTTTCAAGTCGGAGCCAGTCTGCGGCGACCACAGCGCTCACCGCAGGGATATGCGAGCTTTTCAGAGTCAAGCTTTTGCGCGAAAATCCCACACTCGTGGATTTTGGGGCGCTGCGCACCCCCTATGCCCCGTTTAAGCTCTAGCGTGTCGCCAGCGGTGAAGCCCACGGCTAGTGCTCCTCCTCGGCTCCTCGCCGCCTCGCTCACGCCTTGCCTACTCACGGCCCCGGCGCCCACGCCTCGAAACCGCTGCGACTCCAGTTGTGGTGGCGCGGAAGGGAGGTGGCAATGGCCCAACACTGGGCACGGGACTGGCGCGCACTGGCACTAACACAGGTACACCACGGGAGCTGCCTAAGCGACTCCCGCGAGGACGGCGAGGCACTTAGCAAGCTTCCGAGCGTCACCTTGCCACGGAGCTCAGAGCGTGCCCGTGCGACCAGCTCCGGGCGACCTGCAAGCCACGCTCGGTAGCCGGCGATCACCCGGGTGCGCTCACCCGAGTCGCTTCTGGTCATCCGGAGCGGATTGCCCCAGCCGCCGTCGCATCCGGCTGGAGCACCTGCACATTTGCGGCCGACGTACGTGTCGTACTTCTCGCCCCGCCGGCAGTGGACCACGAGGTGGCGGAACCCGCCTCCCAGCGGCTCCGGCGTGCGCTTGTCGACGTCATTGCGAGTGTTCGCGCAGCCGACGCCGGCCGCCAGCTTGTCGCGCTTAATGTAGTACATCCCCTAACGGCAGGGGAAGGGCGGTGGGGAGATGTGGGTGTTGCCACGGAGATCTCGCACGCCATACCTGGTCTACTAGGCTTGCAGCCTCACCTTCCCGTTCGCAAGCGGATAGCGGATCGCATTCTCCTTGTCGTGGGTGGGCTGGCGCAGGCGGGAAGGCGGGCCCGCCTTGCCGCCCCGCCGCTGGCTGGAACCGCCGCGAGGACAGCGAGTGGGGTGAACCTCGTTGTGAATGCAACATGCCCGCATCGTATGCGGCGTGCGATCTACAGTCGTCGAGCGCCAGCGAGCGCGGCGCCGTCTTGTGTCGGGGATTCCGGAACTGTCTTGTGTCGGGGATTCGATACGCGAGACCTCGATGTCCGGAATTGTCTGCAGATTGTAAGCACCTTTGTTGTGGCCTTTGAAAGGAGGTGATTTGGAGTACTACAGTACAGGTACACAGTATTTGCAGTAGACATCCTCTAATGTGAATGTGTATGTGTGTGATGTGTGTGTAGTGTGAATTAGGTGCGCTGCCGCTTGGCGGCAGTCGCCTCCGCATACGCGGCCTCGAGCTTGCGGCTCAGCTCGCTCTCCCGCCTCGACTGAGGCTGGGGGGGGAGCACCATCGTGATGTCCATCTGCATGATCTCGTCCAGCGTCGTTGGCTCCGTCTCGGTGGCGCCGTCGTCGTGCGTGACCCGCTTGTAGAACTTGACCTCCTTATTGAAGCCGGGGACCACCTTCACCACCTCAGCGAGCCGCTGCAAGCAGAGGGTGGGAGGTCATGATATCTCATTGTGGGTGGCGGGAAGGCAGTGGCTGGTGACGCGGCTGCTGGCAAGCGCGCGCGCCTTGGCGAGGTACTTGGGAGTGGTGATGAAGTGCTTGCGGTAGTAGTGGATGTTGGTCCAGCCCTCGGTGCCGTCGTAGTACGCGGGTTGGCGTACTTGATGTCGCGCCCACTCATCCTGCCCTGGAAGATGATAGCCTTCTTCTTGGAGCGGTCGAACAGCGTCATCTTCGGGTGAATCTCTTTGTGCGAGTCGAGGACCTCGAAGAGCTTCGTGTTGAGCTCGTCCTATCGATATGGGGAGTCAGGATGAGCCCCGCGCGGGAGGGTGCGGGGCAGAGGGGATTCGAACCCGTGTGGTCTTGATCATGCCGGGTTCGACGGAGACGACGCCGTTGCTCGGATCCACGATGCACTCGACCGTGTGCTGATGGAACGGTGCGGTGTCAGGGCGGTGGGTGGGGTGTGCGGCCGGGAGCGGGGAGAGCACCTCGTCTTCGACGCTGTCGCCGAAGACCGGGTCCTTGTCCACCTTCTTGGCCGGCGTTGGGGTCTCGCTTGCCGGCGTGACACAGTCGTCGCCCTGTGGGGTGCGGGCCGATGTGCTTGGGCGCGTAGGGCGGGCGGGGGGGGACGCGAGAGAGGGGGGGGGGGGGGGGAGGTTGCACCCAGTCCGTCTCCGCAGCCTTGCCCTTGGGGGTCTCGGCCATAGCGAAGATGCGCAGGTGCGCAGGTCCGAGCTGCACTGGAGGTGGCAACTCGTCGGAGCTTCCGGGGTGACATCTAGGGAGCCCTGGTCGTTTCCGCAGGCGAAAGGACAAGACGTGCTTTTAAACAAAGCGCCCGTCCTTTGCTTTTTAGCCGCCGAAATTTAGCTTGCTGTTTTTTCTTTATAGGCGTCTGCAACTTCCAAGCTGCGTATTCTTCTTGTATTATCGTCGAGTAGTGCAGGTACTCCGTGGGGGCAGTGTGTATTCTTGTAACAACATGTGCGTATTCTCGTATCACTGGCTCCGAGTAGAAAAAGAAAGAAAACATGCAGTGTGGTGTTCATTAGCTCCGAGTAGAGGGGGCGTCCTGCAGTTAAGGGGAAACCCGGTACGCGGGGCCAACCCCTCGGAGACCCGTGTTTACTTTACGGCCCTTTCCCTGCGAATGCGCGCCCCCCCTAGCTAGGGGTCAGGGCTCTCTAGCCCGTAGCCCGATGCCGATCATCCGGCTCGCTGGGTGCGCTTCTTAGCTCCCCGGCCCTGGATGTGAGGTTGCCGACTGCACTCCAAGTGCTCCAAGTCCACGTAGCTCGCTGGGAGACGTGCGCAACCTAAAGTTGGGAGAAAACAGAAATAATAGGGGGGAGTCAGAACGGAGAACGAGAGAAAAGTGTCAGTCAGGAGGGGAGGGCGTAGGCTGGCGTTTTTGCCGCGTAATCCTGAACAGTTTTTTTGGGGTTTATACGTGCGCTGAGAGTCCTGAGAGGGAATCCTTTCATGTTTCAACGCTCAACAACACATCTTTCACATGCGCCACCGGCACCGCGTACAGACAGAGAGATACACCTCCGGACGATGCGGACCGCGATTCACACATCATCTGCAGTGTGTGCATGTGTAGATTTACCACGGGCTTCCCAAAGGGGAGACGCCCGGCGCAGTGGCAAAAGGAGCCCACACGTCCCCTTTCTCTACGCGTACTTGCCCATGAAATCGGCGTGGAAGGCCGTCATCCGATCCACCACGTCCGTCATCTCGGACTCGGGCGGCAGGAAGGTGGTGCGGAAGTGCCACGTGCCTTCCTTCTGCCCAAAGCCGCTGCCCGGCACCACGACGATCCCCGTCGCCTCCAGCAGCGCGAGAGCGTAGAAGGTGTCGGGAACCTTGCCGGCGTCCTTGGCCGCCGCGATCGCCTTCGGCGGCAGCGTGATGGACGGGAAGGCGTACATGGCGCCCTGCGGCTGGTTGCACGTGACACCCTCCAACGCGTTGAGCCCGTCCACCAGCATCGTCGCCCGTCGCTTCATCGAGGCGAGGATGGCGTCCCTCTCCCCGGAGTAGATCTCGTACGAGGCGTCGCCCGGCCGCGGCGGCTGCACCATTAGCCCGGTGGCGATCTGGCCTAGGAACGGTCTAGGGAACGTCCGAGAAGGGTCCGGGAAACGCCATGCCGGACCGGAGCGGTCTGGGCCGAGGGTGTTGGAGCAGAGGCCGATCGAGATGAGCTTGAGCAGCTGCGCCTTGACCTAGGGAAGGCCCGGGGCAGGTCGAGGAAAGGTCCAGGAAAGAGCTCGAGCAGCCGCGCGTTGACCTCGGGGTCGAACCCGACGATCTCAAAGTAGCCGCCGCGCAGACCGCACTCGCCTGCTCACAGCCTCTCTTTTGGCCGCTCGTGGAACCTGTCTCACCCGCGCAAGCCGGGCCCACCGAGGAAGCCCTTCGAAGTCGAGTGGAAGGAGACGAGCTGCAGGTTTGGCCGCGGGCTCATCTCCATCAGCACCTGCGCAACGAAGACACCAAGGCGGTACTCGAAAGAAGGAGCTTGCTCTGACATGCGTTTGAGTGCTGCAACAGCGCGGATGAGCTGATATCGGCGGAACCACGCGGTGCGAATGTGAGCCCGCGTCATCTGGGCCGTGCCTCGACGACGAGCACCAGAGCAGTGCGAGGGGCGGGCTCCCCCACTTCCGCACCTTTTTGAAGGAGTGGAAGGGGCGGCCGCCGTCCCAGATGTTCTCCTGGTACACCTCGTCTGCCATCAGCACCAGCCCGTGCTTTGCGCAAAAGTCGATGCACTCCACCATGTTGTCGTACGGCAGCGAGTTGCCCGTCGGGTTGCCTATTCCTTGGCTCCACTACATCCACCCTTCCATCCATCCGTCTCAACCAGCTGCCGGCCGTTGGCCGCCTGGGTTGATGACCACCAGAGCGCGCGTCGCCACGCCCTTGGCCTGCGCATCCTCCAGCTCCGCCTCCAGCAGCGAGATCGGCAGCGACCAGCCCGCAGCCTCGTCGAGCTCATACCCGAGCATGTGCGTCTCCTGCGTCGTGCGCTCCAACGTTGGGGCGGGGACCCGTGTATCGTGCAGTGCATCGGGTGAGTACGAAGTCGGCTCGAGTGCGAGCTGGAGACGCGCATCGTGCTCCGCGTCTAGGGCGCGTCTCCTGCAGCGCCAGCGTGGCCGAGTAGAGCGGGTACTGCGGGATGGGCACCTGCAGTCATTCGCCCACAGCATCAGTACACTGCCATCTCGGATAGGGGCGCCAGGAGCCCGTCCAGACTGCTATCTCGGCTGCCTCGCGGCTATCTCGGCTATCTCGGCTGTCTGCTGCGGCACCAACAGCCCGTCCCATGTCTCCCCATATCTCCCCACATCTCCCCACATCTCCCCATATCTCGGCACCAGCAGCCCGTCCGAGCCGCCGCCGCGCAAGATGAGGGAGAGCAGAAAGCCGACGCCCTTGGAGGCGCCGTCGGTCAGGAAGATGTCCTGAACACAGCTCCTCCTCCCTCGGTGAGTGCGCGCTCTAGAGCCGCGGCGTGCGCGCGGCCGCACCTCGGGGCTGGCGGGGAGGCCGTCGCGCGACGAGATGAAGTCGGCCACCTGGAGGGGAGCCAAGTGGTCTCCCGGAGGTCTGGCTGACACCTCTCGCCGCGAGCGAGCAACCCCCGAAAGGGCGGTCCGAGAGGGCAGTCCGAGAGGGCGGTGGGTTCGGGTACCGTGGGGGTAGGGTGGGGTGGGTTCGGGTAACGTGGGGTAGGGTAGGATGGGTTCGGGTACCATGGGGTAGGGGGGTTCGGGTACCGTGGGTTAGGGGAGGGTGGCTTCGGCCGTGGGGTAGGGGAGGGTGGGTTCGGGTACCGTGGGGTAGGGGAGGGTGGGTTCGGGTGCCGTGGGGTAGGGGGAGGTTAGGGTACCGTGGGGTAGGGGAGGGTGGGTTCGGGTCCGCCCTCCTGCTCCCGGACGATCCGGAAGCCCTGGCTGTCCGAGTACGCGCCGACACCCGACGGGATGGCGGCCAGGTACTCCTTGGCGCGCGCCTACCGCACCAGCCACGGGACTGAGCCCCCCGCTGGGTTCGATACTCTGGGGGTATGGCGGCCAGCCACTCCTCGGCGCGCGCCTGGTCCAGCCACGGGGTGCAGACTGGTAAGGAGGAGGCCCCTCCCTGACGCGGGTGGACGAGGCGCGTGGCGCGCGCGATTGCGTCGGGCGCAAACAGCGCGTCGACACCCGGCTGGTCGAGCAGCGCCGGGCAGACCATCAGCGAGAGCACCTGAGGGGAAAGTTCCGAGAAGGTTCCGAGAAAGTTCCGTCGCCGGGCACACCATCAGCGAGAGCACCTGAGGGGAAGGTTCCGAGAAGGTTCCGAGAAAGTTCCGTCGCCGGGCACACCATCAGCGAGAGCACTGCCGAAGACGCAGCCGAGATACGCCCGAGATGCCGGCCGAAGTACAGATACAGACAGCCGAGAGACTCGGCCGAGAGACGGACAGCCGAGATAGCGCCGGGGCAGACCGGCGAGAGCGCCTGCCTGTTGAGATACGGCCGAGATACGGCCGAGATACAGCCGAGATACGGACCGCGAGAGCACCTGCCTGTTGAAGCCGATGGGAGACTGACCGACCGCCTACGAGACGCGGCAGGGACACGTCACGGACAGGCCCGGGGGCTTGCCATGGCCAGACCCCTGGGTTAGGGTTAGGGTTAGGGTGGTCTACGGCCGTCCAGGCGCCGGCTCTCCCCCGTCAAGGTTAGGGTTAGGGTTAGGGTTAGGGCTAAGGTCAGGGTTTGGGTGGGTGTGCCCACCGCCTCCGCGCTGAGGGAGATATAGGGGAGATACAGGAGAGATATAAGGGAGATATAAGGGAGACAAGTGGAGATGCAGGGGAGATATAGCTTGCTTGACGCGGCGGCGCCTGCGGGTTGCCGATGTTGCACTCGAGGACCTTCTTGAAGGGCACGTTGGCGCTGCCCGCCGCCATCTCCTCCTTGATCGCCGCTGCGCGCTGCACCAGCTCGCCGCGCACCTGACGTCCCAGCCGTGCAGTGGAGGAGCAAGGACGAGGCCACTGGAGCGAAGGCTGCAGACGGACGCTGAGACGGATGCGCTGCAGGCTGTGCCGTGCCAGCCCGCCGCCGGTGGTGCAGCTAGGCATGAGCCACGCAGACACAGGACAGGCGTGGGCAGAGGGTCGCCGCACGCGGATCCGGGCGAGCGGCGCACCGCGTACTGTGCCGAGAGCACGTTCGGGTTGATCTCGCCGAGCGTGAGCACGTGCGACGGCGGGTACGGCTTGCGAAGGGCGTCCGCGCCCCCATGGAGAGTGGAAAGTCGACGGCGCAGCGCGAGCGGACGCGCAGTCTGCGCCACAGGCCGCGCAGTCTGCGCCGCAGGACGAAGCGCCTGCCGCATCTCAAAGCCCGCGCCCCCAGGTAGGGTTTGGACTTTCTGCGGGGTATGGTATGATGCGACTCGAGACCATACCCCCCCACCTGCTGACAGACCCAGCCTCCCGGAGACCGGGGATGGGCGGTCAGGACCATACCCCCCCCCACCCTTTGGGCCGCGAGGGTACCTACCCCGGAAAAAGTTGGAACCAGGGTTCGAACTATTTGCAGGTGGTATCCGACGGTGTCTATCCCTCTACACCGCGGCCCGCCATGAAATCTAGCCGTGTGTGCTGGCGTCCCCGGGTCCCAGCGGGTTTTCACGTAACAAGCAAGCACACACCGAGGGCCCAACTTCAGAATCGTGCTTTTTTGGTTAGGGACCAAAGCGCGAAGGACCACTTTTGGGTTAGGGACCGCGGGCGACAGGTTAGGGACCGATCGCCGCCGCATACGCCGGCGGACGGCCACCATCGGTGTTTTTGGCTTCGCCACCGTTCAAAGCGTGCGCAATGCGCTCGCCGACATCAAGCGAGCACGCCTGTCCGACGAGCGGCTTGCTGTGCGGATGGCTTCTTGTGGCTCTCGTCGAGAGCGTTTTGCGACCCGGCGGGTGGGAGAATATGTGTCGTCTGATGTGTCACTGCGTACGTCATATCAGTCTTGATAACAAGCACGGTCGATCCGTCGAAGCGATACACTCGTTCCTATCACGTTGGACGGCTGGCACAGAACTCTGTGCCAGCAACAGGAACCGAGCCGTACGGCAAGAAGAGCTCGATGGGGAGCGAGAACCGTCAGAGGAGCTTCAAGGGTAACCTGAAGTCCTCCGTGACGCGCTCAATCGCTCCCAAGCGGGTGGCTCTCGAAAACCGTCGATATCTTCCGGAAAGACTGCTCTTGCCGAGCAGCCGATATGCCCAGACGGAGGCGCAGAAAGGCTGCGAGTACTCAACGAGTTCCGCGACCTACGCAGTCAAACCTGGGGGGGGACTGACCGCATCATGGCGGACTTCCGAAACCTCCGTGAGCACCTCTGACGGTTCTCGCTCCCCATCGAGCTCTTCTTGCCGTACGGCGGTCTTCCTGATGCGTGCCGGCACAGAGCTCTGTGCAAGCCGTCCAACGTGATCGTGACGAGTGTATCGCTTTGACGGATCGACCGTGCGTGTTATCCACATCGATGTGACGTACACAGTGACACATCAGACGACACATGCTCTCCCACCCGCCGGGCCGCAAAACGCTCTCGACGAGAGCCACAAGAAGCCGTCCGCACAGCAAGCCGCTCGGTCGAACACGTTGCTCGCTCGATGCCGGCGAGCGCATGTCGCACGAGGTAGACGGTGGCGTAGCTAACATCACTGACGAAGACCAACCGCTGGCTTGAGCGGCGGCGATCGGTCCCTAACCTGCGGTCCTTCACCGCAATCGGTCCTTCGCGCTCGTCCCTAACCCAAAAAAGCACGATTCTGCAGGCAGCCTGTGCCTTTTGGTGTACCCCGTTTGTACCGCGTCCTGTGCCCCCGAGTTCATTTAATATAACTAGTGGGGGACCTGCGGCGGACCCGCCTCTGTTGTTCGCGGGCAGTGAGAGACGCAGGATCTGCACGCCAAAGTGGGGCCACTCCGCATTTTCATTTTGGTTTTGGGTTGTCGGAGATCATCCATCAGCACTCATAAGTCAGTCAAAGCAGTCGTGGCACGTGGAGCAGTCGCTGCATGCAACGGCGCCGCCACACGCTCCGGACGACCGACACACCGACACCACGCACAATGGTAGGCCATCGCGTACGATCGGCCATCGCACCCACCGCAAACACCTCGCCGCACAAATGGGGGGAGGCATAATCCCACACACACCGGAGCAGCGCAGACACCTTACACGTCAGCGCTCGCTCGATGTGGCCGGCGCTCTCCCCTCTCCTATCGCCTTTTCAACGGCGGCGTGCGGCCACGCGCCGCGCCGAGCCGGTCTCGGCGGGAGACCTCGGAGCCGCACGCGATGCGGGCATGCGCGATGGCTCCGTTGGCTCCGTGCCTAAGGCAGATAGATTAGGGTGTGAGCTGCGGCAGCCACCGTTTCTGTACCTCGATCACGTGCAGGCCGTCGGAGGCCGCGCTGGATGGCCCAGGGAGGGCCGGCGGCGGTGAAGGCGTCCGTCGATGAAGGGATGTCGTCGAGGGAGCCATCGTCCTACGCGGCTGGTGCACCGGTCCAGTTGTCGGAGTTCGAGATCGCCGTCGACTTGGAGAGTTCGGCCCGTTGACGAACTCACGGAATGTGAGCGACTTGGTGCACGCTGATAGTCGAGCATCATGGCTCGCACCTCATCCTGAGCGCAAGGAACTCGCCCAGGGGCCAGCTGTTGGCGTCGCCGTTTTGATCGAGCTGCATCCACTGCATGGTTTCGTAGTCAAGCGTAAACGCCCAGGAGTTGGTGCCTGGAGGTGACTTGCTGATGAGAGCGCCTTCCAGGCGGGTAGTCGTGCCCCTCACCTAAGGTCATACGGCGGCGTCAGGGGGGGGGAAGGGGCGCGAAGCGTGAACATGGAGGCAAGCAGGTGGTGGCTGCACCTGGCCAAAGCCGGCGACCAAAGTTGTCGTAGGTTGTGCGGGTATCGCTGAGCGTGAGAGGGACTGGATCGGCAGCAGCGCGGGCGGCAGCGGCCGGAGAGGCCGGAGAGCCGTCCGACGGAGGCCGGTCGTGCATCCGCGCGTCGGCCGTAGGGGCCGGGGGGGCGGCGGCATCCATCGCTGCGGGTCGCTGCGGGCCGACGATTGTGGACTGATCGATCGTGGCGGGCGGTGTTCAGCTGGGACGTTCTACGTTAAAAGAGCGTCGGCGCCGACACGAGAGACTTATAAGGGTAGAAGCACGATTCTGAAGTTGGGCCCTCACACCGCCGAGTCCGCAGCGGCCAGCGCCATGAGGCAAGATCTACAGCGCCATAAAAGCCTGGCCTAGGGCATCAGCTACCTCTTCACAGCCGTACGGCTTATTTCTCCAAAACGAGGTCGCGATTACACGCCGACGTTGGTCTCCCCACTGCTGCTGCACCTCGCCCTGGTATGCGCCGCGTTTAGCTCGCTCGCTCGGGGCTCGCCCACAGATCGCACCCGCTGCCTCCCACTAGCCTCCCGCCCTCCTCAGGACGTCATGACATACTACGTCGGCCCCGGAGTGCCGAAAGGGCCTGCCGCCCATCCATGGATCACGAAGCTCGGCATGCTCACCGCCTTCATCATGGCGAACCTCTGGGCCTACCTTCTCCTGCCACTCGGGTGGATCGTGTTTCCATGCGCCAACCTTTTCGCACTCGCCCTCTCGGCGTGCGTCTTCTGCTGCTCCTGCGGCGATCTCAAGAAAGATGACGTCGAAGGCCCTTGGCCGGCCACGATCGAGTTTGAGGGCACCCCCACATCCCCGTACTTTCACCCCCACATCCTCTTCTGCTGCTGCGGCGTCTCCGAAGGGGACTCGGATGCGGCAAAGGAGATCGACCTCAAGTATCTCGTGACGTGCTGCGGCGAGCCGGATCCCGGCTGCTGCTGCGGCATCTTCTCGAAGTCCGAAACTGCCCCGCTGGACGGTGGCGCTCCCGCGGCCCGCTCTCACTTCTCTCCTCCCCCGACCCAGCCCCACAGCCCCCCTGTACCCACAGGCTACTACTACACGCTGTCAGCCAAATCCGGCACTGGCCGCACGCCGGAGGACCCAACTAACTGCTGCTGCACGATCTGCGGCTCTGTCACCTTCCTCGTCTGGTGGGTGCTCATCCTCATCATCGGCTCTCTCTTCTTCGGCCTCTGCTTTGGGGCGGGTGCCAACATCATCCTCTTCGCCTTCACCACCGCCATGGGTGCCTGCGGCCTCGGGCTCACGCAGTCGGAGGACTTCTCCGTCCTTCCGTGGAACATCTCCTTCACGTACGACGGCGGTGAGCCGATGCCGCCGGCGCAGTACAAAGTGGCGTACTGCTGCTTCGGCCTCAAGGAGCAGTCAGACGGCTCTCAGGGAGAGGTGCTTCACCCCCCCCCCCCCCCCCCCCACCCCACCCCACCCACCCTCCCCACACACACTGCCTCTTCCGCTCCAGGTCGACCCTGAGGCCCCGGCCCCGGCCCCGGCCGCGGGTGCCAAGAAGCCGACGGTGCCCATCCCGAAAAAGGCATACCTCACCGCGATGAAGAAGGCGCGCGCCCCGCCCCAGACATCGCCGCGCCTAACCGTCGCCTCCATCCCCCCCCCCTCTTCAACCCATTTACCCCCCCCCCCCCCCAACCCCACCCCCTCTGTCGCATGCGCAGTCGCACGGGCTCCTCTAGACGGCCCGCAAGAAGCACCTGCTCGCGCCGAGTGGAGAGGCCAGAGCGCCGAACGGCGCAGCTTGTCCTGAAGTGCGAGCGGGAGGCGGCGGCGCGCAATTGAGTGCCGCCTTCGTACTAGAAAGACCGCCGCTGCAGCGGTGCAATGACAATGAGTATGAATGAGGGACGCGTCGCAAAGCATATGACATGTTTGTGCGTGTGGGGTGGGGTGAGCGGGACTGGGTTATCACGTGGCAGTGCTTCGGTGCAGGGCGTCAATCCAACTGGTCAGCTCCAGAGTCACCCACAGATAACCCTGGAGATCTCTCTAAACTCTATCGTCTTCCGTCTCCGCATGCCAAGGGACCAAGAGGAGTCTTCCAGTCTGAGCCATGGAGCCCTTGTCTTTGCCCCCGAAGGTCGCGTTCAAATACCCGGAACGGCCGTCTCAGTGGTTGTCCGGCCGGCGCGATCACCGAGGAGCGAGGTGACGCTCGCTGGTTCTGTCTGGTTTCTGTGTAAAACAGTAGGGGGAGGGCTCCCAGGGGCAGGGCTTTGAGGGTTTTTCAGTTGCAACCATGATGATAGGCAAGGCGTTCAGGGTAGTGAAGAAATAAGAAGAAGAGGACATGGTTCGACCTCGCGTGCGAGATGTGTGTCGCGACCCCTCGTCGCCGGACACCTCCCGACACGGTGTGAAGAACAACTCCTCTCTCTCGACCGCTACTACGCCGCCGCTCTTCTCACTGCGCAGCTCACGGCCCTGCCTCCTCCCCCACCTCCTCCTTCTTCGCCGCCTCCTCCGCCCGCTTCGCCGCCCTCTCCATCGACGTCAGTTTGACGAACTTGACCTCGTCCTTCTTGCCGATCACGGCCTCGAACTCCCCTTGTGGTAGGGGCAGGTCACCTTCCTCTCACCTCTCAACTCTCATCCTTCTTCCTCGTTTTTTGCCGATTTCTGTAAGCGTCCATTTTTGAAGAGGTTTGGCAACCACCGAGGGGTACGATTCCACATAATTCATCCGACGGAAACGAGGCGATGGCACCTGATTCGGGGAGCAGTGGAGGGGGGGGTTGAGGATTTGGTTCTGAAGAAGGTGGCGCAGTACCGAGGGGGGTGGGGTAGGTTTACCGTTTGAGCAAGCGAGGGCTGTGGCGCCGACGGCGGCACCCTTGTACAAGGCTGTGAGGGGAGCGGCGGCGAGAGGGGGGGCGGCGGCGACGCAGGCGAGCCGCGCGCGCGCGACTGAGGGAAGCGCGGGCGGCGGGAAGAAGGAGAACGGCGGCGGCGGCGAGGCGCAAAACGGGGGCGGCGGAAGTGGGGGCGACGGCGGCGGCGGAGTGAACGGCGGCGCGCGCACGGACGGCGACGAAATCGACGGCGGGAAGGGGCGGGGCTGCATGGCGGCGGCGTTCGCGCGCTCATATGTCGTGCTTTCGCATTGGCACTCCACATCCTCCTCGGCGACCTGCGTGCGCGCGGGAACGGCAGGGGTCATCCGGGCGGCGCCGTTCTCGCAGCAGCCGGGATCGCAGCAGAGTATGGAGGTGGAGAGCTCTACCCGCGCACCTGCCCAGCGAGGAGCTCGACGCCGCTACTGGCAGGCGAGGCAGGGATCTCCGCGACGTTGGAGAGCGGGCGCACGATGTCGTGGGCGACGCCCGTCCGCAGCCACGTCGTGGTGACGATGATGGCGAGGAGCATCACGGTGAAGAGGAGCGTCCCGGCGCTGCCTGGGCTCGCTCGAGTTAGCGGTCTGGGCGCGGCATGGGCACGGCAAAAATCTTGTATCAGGGCTTTAGAGGTGACCTCAAAGAATTCTTTGGCCGGGCCTGCCTAGAGGGTGTGGATGCTGAGTTGACGGAAACCGGCGGGGGCGCGCGGAGGGCGCCGAGTCGAGGGCGGCAGAGGCGGCCAAGGCAGCGGTGGGCCGCGGGCTGCGCGGCGACGAGGTGGTGGACGCGATCCGACGCGCGGGCGTGGTTGCTGCCGGTCCACCTCGACGTCGCACGGCGCGGCTGGTGGCGGCGCACGCCGCCCTCGACGCCAAGTACCGAGAGGACAAGAAGACGTACTATTTCTACGACAAGACTGGCCGGGCCTACCGCATCTAAAACCGAGAGAGGGCTGCCCCCGGCGCATACATATCTGATACCTTCCGCTTACTGAATGGAGCTCGCGCAGCAATCTTCTACAACACGCTCAGCGCCGATACTCCGCGACGATTCACCATTCGGCCTGGAGGGAGATGCATGCGGCGGCGGGCCGCGCAGGGAGGAGGGAGCAGGTGCGGTTTGTCTCGGCGAGCCAGTTCGGCGCGGGTGCGTTCTTGAACGCGATCCCGACCCGCGCGCACTTCCGTCTCGTGCCCTCGTACGTGCTGCGCTTCGCGCTGCAGCGCCGCTTCGGATTGCACCTGTCGATGATGACGGACGTCATGGCGGACGGCATCTACATCCAGCACGGTCTGCCCTTTGACGCCCTCGGCGACGTGGCGCAGAACGACGGCGCGGCGGGCCACCAGACGCGGCACAAGGAGGTCCTCCTGGACCTTGTCGAGCTGCTGCGGGGCAAGCTAGGGCGCGGCGCGGTGGAGCACGAGTTTCACTGCGCGAGCACAGCACTACGAGGACGGACTTGTACATTTACCAGGGCGTGATCGGGGACCTGCCCTGCATCGGCGACACGAAGATCTTTGCCGGTGTGCCGTCGGACCCCTCGGGGGTGGGGCGCATGGGGGCGTTCGTCGATTGCGGCAACACGCTGCCACGCGCCCGCGAGACGGTTTTGGGCGTGGAGGGCGGGGACAGGGGCGGGAGGGTGGGGAGGTGGGACCCTCCCGCGGACGGGGACCGGGACGGTTGAGGCTGTCAAGGGCCAGTACACGGACGCAGAGGGGAAGTGCCATGTGGAGGTGCTGCTCTTCGAGGAGTTCGGCGCAATGAGCGCGGGGGTGGAGGAGCTGCTGATGCGGGTGGCTGAGGTAGCGGGCCGGAAGCTCACATGGTGGCAGTACGACCAGACGTCGTGGTCGGCGCGCGAATGGATGCCGTTTGCGCTGCAGCGACTGTCGGTGCAGCTCTGGACGGCGCTCGCGGACGAGGCACAGCGCGCCATGGTGCGGCGTCAACCTGCAGCCAAACATGGCGTGCAGCTGGCCATCAATCTCGCGCACCGCGAATTGTTTCGCGATGCTGGTGTCGGCGCCCTTCTCGCGCAGCTCCTGCTGCTGCTGCTCGGTCCACGCACCAAGCCGCAAGCCCCAGTACCTGTGCTGAGGGTCCTCGGCTCTGGGTCGGCCAATGGCTCCGCGAGCGTCGGCTGCGTGCCTTCCGCAATGCTGGACAGTCTCATGCACCAGACAGAAGCTCGACAGCTCGACAGCGCGTTGCGCCGACATCGATCTGCGCCTGGAGTGGCGCTTGTTCATTCTCAGAGAGTGTATGTAGCTCTTACGAACATACCCGTAGGTGAACTGCTGACAGGGTTTGCGATGAGGAGCGATCCGAACGTGGTATTCGGGTGATTAGATCACTACCGCCGAAGCGCAAGCGCTTGGAGCAAGGGAACTGCCACGTATGGGTCCCAGACTAGCACCCCACCTCGCGGGCCGACGTTCTGGCCCAGCGAGGCTGCTGCGGAGCACTCGGGGCCGATGTTCTGGCCCGGCGAGGCCGCTGCGGGGCACCCGGCGGCTCGGTTCGCTCATCAGCGCAAACTCGGTCGAGAGCAGAAGGTAAGGTGTGTGTGTAAAGGCGGCGTGGCCGCGTTTGGCGGCCGCGGCGATGGTGGCGCTTTTGTCAGCTCGCTGGAGCGGTACGACCCGTCAACGAATGAGTGGGAGGGGGAGGCTGTGGCGCCGATGCCGACGGCACGAAGGTATGCCGGCATGGCGGTGCTCGATGGCAAGCTCTACGCGGTGGGCGGCCTGAGCGAGGCTGATGGCGCCCATGAATATGAATCGCCGAACTCGAACGGCGGGCGCTTGACGAACCAGGGGGGAACGGGCGTGGCAACCACAACCACGTCGGGCGTGGTTTTGTGGCAACTCATGATCGAACCAGCGACTCATAGAGTCGAACCACGACTCATAGAGTCGAACGTAACCACGGCGGACGTGGTAGTGGCAACGACCGTAAGATGGACGGACGGAAAAACACCACCCTTTCTATGCCTGACCCTGGGCAGGCCTCTCTTGGTGTGAGCTGGGTCGGCCACCTCCGGGTCTGCAACTCGCACGGTGGGGCCGCACCCGGGCGAGCATCCGAGGCCGGCGGTTGTCCTTTCGCCGGGCGCGACCGCCATGGAGATCACCTGCACACAGATCAGTGGTTTTGTCGACTTTTGCTCGCTCTCAGTGCACTCGCAACGCCAGAGGCCGTGCTCGGAGAATGCGTCGCAATGCTTCTGCGCCAGTCGATTGAGCCGAGAAGGTGTACAGAAGGCTTCTGGTCAAAATGCAGCTATTCAACCCTTCACCATTTGAGCAGGCCAGCTCCCCAGCCCTGGCTTAATTTGTAGTAGATCTAGATCTTTCAAATGTGCTGCTCTCAAATCTAGTCTGGTCCAGAATGGCGTCCGCGGTCCCGAGAAATTACGTAACAAAGGAATGTCTGGACGCTCCACAAACCCTATTAGATCATGCAACCCCGGACTCAACATACTCGTGAGCTGTCGCCGTCCCAAACTGTCACTCCCCTTTCTCCCGGCCGGGGTGGGGCGCGCGCGGGGGCGGCGGGTGTGCGGGATGTCTGTGGCCCAAGTGAAGAGCCGTCATGTGTGTGTCCGCCTTGCCTTGTTTCATAACATCGAAGGCTAGCTCAAAAAGAAATTTAGCCACTTCTTCCGCTAGAGGGTACGTGGATATCTTGAGGCGTGCCGCGCCCTGCCCTGCCGGCGCGCCCGCCGCCCAGCGCGAGGGCCGGAGCCCCGCGCCGGGCAGCCCGCCCCCCGCCCCTCCCTCGCCCTCCACTCCCTCTCCCTCCCCGCCCGCGCGACGCGTGCAGAGCTCGCGCCGCCGCCCGAGCCGCGCCTCCGCCCACCCTCTGCGCCTCTGTCGCGGCGCGATCCCCGGCCAGCATCTCTGCGCGCCACCGCGCCCGCGCCGCGCCCTGCCGCACCACGCCCGCGCCAGGGCTGCGGGACCGCGCCGCCCGCTCCGCGCTGGAATCATGCGGCCGCCGCCGCATCCTCAATTTCTCCGCTCACCGGACACACTGCCTCCGTCCGATCAGGTGCCGAGTCTGAGGTGCGCGTCGCTCTTCATCTCCATCTAGATGCCTCCACCCTTCTTACCCGTCCCCACAAAGAAATGCAAACACAGCCCACTTCCCTGGCGGGGCGCGTACCACGGCTTCGCACGAGTCGCGCAGCCTCCCGAGCATCGACGCGCCCAAGCCGCGGCACGAGGGCGCTTTCGAGGTCCCAAAATTGCGACGCCGGCCCGACTTCGCAAGCCGCGCGACGCCATGCGTCTGCAGGCCCTATCCCCGCCGCATCCTCCCGAACTGGTTGGTTGAGGCAGCATATACGGGGTGTGGAGCTCCAACTGACCAAACATTGTGCGACGGGCCCTCCTGCTCGGCTCCAGCCAGTAGACAAGTCTTGACTCTTGTCATCAACACAAGCTGAGTACAACCGAGTAGAGGGATCTGACCTCGGGGCCGCTGTGACCAAGCGCTGGTAGCATGGTTTTACCTCATACCCTAACCCGTCCAGCGCGAAAAAAAACTCGGACCCACGAAGACAAGGAGCGCGCGCCAATGGCCGCCTCCGTGACACTCCCACCTCCTGGGCCGGCGCGAGAGTTTTACTGCCGAGTTTCTCCCGGCCGGCCGCCTCCTGACACGCCCACTGACCGAGCCCATCGAAAAAAATTCGGCGCGCCGCACTGCTCTGACCCCTGCTCGCCCC